GCTGAGGGTGATGGTGGGAGGATGGTGATGATGGCGGTGGTGGTGGTGGTGATGGTGGTGATGGTGATGAGGATGATGGTGGGGGGAAGGTGAGGATATTGGTGATGGCGATGAGGATGATGATGGGAGGATGGTGGTGATGGTGGTGATGGCGGTGATAGTCATGATGGTGTGAGGATGGTGAGGATGTTGGTGATCGTGATGAGGATGATGGTGTGAGGATGGTGATGTTGGTGGTGATGGTGATGAGGATGATGGTGGGAGGATGGTGACGATAGTGGTGATGGTGGTGATGGTGGTGATAGTGATGATAGTAATGAGGATGATGGGGTGAGGATGGGGATGATGGTGGTGATGTTGGTGGTGATGGTGGTGTTGGTGATGAGGATGATGGTGGGAAGATGGGGATGATGGTAGTGATGGTGCTGATAGTAATAATAGTGATGAGGGGCCACGAAAGCACAGACTAGGATGGACTTTAGGAGGAGGAAGGTTGTGATGACTGAACATTTCTTGGTCTTGTGGCACCGCCACTTGGCCACCAGGTTCCTGGTTTGGTTGTTGAGGTTGATGCTGATGAAGAAGAACACCAAGGCGGGCCCCCGATGGTCATCAGCCCGTACTGGAAGTTCAACCCTGGTGTGAATGGACAGTGGAAGGCAAACAAGGAGAATAGCTCCTGGCCACTCGTAGTGACCAGCCACTAGCCCATTTAAGTTCACCCAATCATTACTCTTGAACAAGAATGACAGGAAGCCGAAGCTGGGGTTAGCCATGGTGTCAGGACAAGGGCTGCATTAGGACGAGGTGCAGGCTGGCGGGCGCCTGGCAGCAGGGTTGGGCTGGGCTCTCCTGTTCACGGTGGTGGCTGCTGGGCACCTCCTGTAGGAAGGCAGGAGGCAGAAGCATGTCTACTCACTGGCTGTCAGGCCCACAGTTTGCCTCCGGGCACCATATTAGCGCATCAACAGCCCTGACCCAGGGACAAATCAGCAAGTCCCAGAAGGAACCACAGTGCCAGAGATCTCTCCAGGCCCCATACTGAGCCAGTTTCACTGGGACACCCCAGACGGAGCTTGTGTCCTCTCCCCGCCTATTCCAGATGGAATCCCGGTGACCAAAAACTTCCACAAGCGAGGCCCAGGTGTGCGGGTTCCAGGACTATGCCAGGCCGCATGGTGGCAGAGGACCCAGGCTGTCCCCCACTGGGTCCCCACCTGCCCAAGAGACTGGCAGTCATGCTCACAATTTGCCTCCAGGTGCCATCTTAACGCACCAAGGGACCTGGCCCAGAAAGGCCCCACTGAATCCCAAAATGGATGAGTGCCCTACAGAGATGTCTTTGGAACCCAACCATTTCCAATCTAGAAATTTCCATTTACAATTGCGGCCATGCCAGCTCTCATGATATTCAAAATGAGCAATGGAAAATAAATGATCTAGCTTCTGCCCCTGGCAGATAGGTTTGAATGTTGGTGGGAAATTTCGAGCAAAACATAACGCCCAAAGTTAGAGAGAAAGTATTGGGGAAATTGTCTGCCATCGAGGCAGGGTGAGGACTGGGATGTGGGTGATGGGAAATGTGCTCTGGTGGAGGAATGGGTGTTCCATCACCATATGGCTGAGTCCCAAATGTGAAAGCTTTGTAACTCTATCTCATGGTGATACAATTAAAAAAAAAGTAATTTGTAGTTTATGCCCAAACCAATCAGCTTAATCAATAAAGGTAAAGGTAAAGCCCTCCCGTTGATCGTCGATTTGCTCGAGCGGGCCCAGTAACGTCTCCATTGGAGACTTTGTTGTTACTGTGTCTGGCATATCGAATACTCTCGGTAGCTTGCCGGGCTCTCCGAGAGGGGTGGAGGAATCGAACTCGGGTCGGCCATGTTGGCCGCTTGTAAGGCGAACGCCCTAGCCGCTGTGCTAGTGCTCCCTTCGATAGCTCAGCTGGTAGAGCGGAGGACTGTAGACTGTCCTATATTATTAAAAAAAAAAAAAGAATGTCTGTTCTGAACCCGAATCCCAGTAGCAGCTCTGAGGGTCGGCCTGAAGGGGCCATTCTCTTCATTGCAAAGAGCAGGAGATACCCCCAGGAAGAACTGGAGCATGGAGTGGGGGATATGGCTTTGAGGTAGAGCTTAGGCCTCTTCCCTGTGAAGACCGGGGTTCACCCTACACCCCTGAAAACTGCAAATGTGGAAGTGCCTTGGCAGGCCTTTTGAGCACGATCTAAGGAGGCTTGATGGTGGGTGAAGTGAATTTTCCGTCTTTGCTGAACTTATTCTTTGCTCACCCGGAGGCCCTAGGGAACCTTCTATCCCCTGTATCCCCATCATTCTCTCCATCTCTGTGAGGAAAAAACAAAGTCCTCAGGTTGTGGGGTGGAGGAGCAGACAGGTAGGGTATCACTCAGAATTGCCCCAAGGGGGTCCCTCTCTATACGTGCGCCCCATCTGCTTACTGCCAAGACTTCCAGACGGGCCTGGGCTGAACTCACTGTCGGGGAGAGATCGGCCCCTCATCCTGATGGAACGTGGGTGGTCTGTTTCCCAGAAAAGGGAGTTTGTGAGGATGCCAGGGCTGGAGCCCGCCAGACCCTTCCCTCCACCTCAGCCCTTCTTGGCTTTCAGGCTCCCGGGAGCACAGACTCTGGGTGCAAAGTGCCCAAGTAGAGTTCCAGAGGCCACTGGTGGGGGAAACTGAGGAGGAACCAGGTCCTCTTCTGATACCACATCCCAGGCCAGCAAGGGGAACCTCCAGATTTCTCCAAAAAAACCAGGGGGTTGGAAGGGAGGACCAACCCTACTGCTCTAGGTCAACTGGCGACTTGCTTACCAAGAGCTCCCGGACAGGACAGGTGTCCCGGGTTGTGGAGGCCTTCGGCAGTGCCCTCGCCTTCCTGCTTTGCTTCTGTGCTGGATCTGGGTGGCATCAGAAAGTTTTGTTCCAGAAAAGAGGAGGGCCAGCCGACCAATGACGTGCGTGGCAGCCCCGAGTTGGGAAATTGGCAGGGGGGAGGGTGGGGAGCAGGGGTGTGGGAGGGAGGGAGGGGGGACTCTGTGGTTTACACTGTAAGATCTCAGCAGGTCAGGGCCATGCCCAGCCACCTGTGGTACACTCACCCCACCATGCAGAGCTGCCCCAGCTGGGAGGGAGGAAAATGGCACGAAGATGGCAAAACTTTCTGCCTCTCCCTATGCTGCCCTGGCTGATTCATCTTCCCAGGAGGTCGCACCCCAGTTCCAGCTAACTCTGGTGTTGTTTCACACCTCAGGTGGAGGGCCCCGAGAGATAATACCGCAGGTGGGCACTTGTCTGGCATAGGCACAACCAGGGGTTCAAGCCCTGGCATCATAATTAGTCCCCTGAGCCTCACCAGGAGTCAGCTCTGAGCACAGAGACAGGAGTAAGCCCTTAGCATTGCTGGGTCTGATCAGGGTCTCATAACTGGGGTTGGGGGGACAACAAAATCTTAGGTGGAGGGAAAACAAACAAAAAGCAGCACCTAAGGGTCTGGGAGACGTGTGTTTGCTGGGTGAGGTGAGGGGCAGGTTTTGCAGGAGTCCTGGGGTGCGGTCCTCAGCGCAGCTCGCTTTGTATGGTCCCACAGGCATCTCCGAGAGCCACCCCTGAGCACCAAACTGGAAGTAAACCCTGAGCACAACTGGTGCGGCAGTTGCTCCCAAACTAACCAAACGAAAAGTAGAACTCAAATCTCAGGACTACTAGGTAGGAACTTCAGAATGTGGGACCCTGAGCTCTGAGGGCATCAGTGAAAGAATTTGGAGAAGGATGGTTTTTTTTCCCCCCATACCCAGCTGACTTCATGCCTTCTATTTGGATCAGGGATGACCCCTGGCATATGTGGTCCAGGGTATCAAACCTAGGTGAGCCACATGCAAAGGCAAGAGCCCTACCCTCTGTACTATCTCTCCAGCCAGTGTTTACTTTATATATTTATTTTACAGAGATGTATACACATTCATCATCCCTCCTGGAGAGTCCAGCAAGCTACTGAGAGTATTCTGCCCACACGGCAGAGCCCGGAAGCTCCCCATGGCATACTCGATATGCCAAAAGAAAGAACCATAACGGGTCCATTCCCATGACCCTGAAAGAGCCTACAATATGGCACCGTTGGGAAGGACAAGTAAAATGAGGCTGCTAAAATCCCAGGGCTGGGATGAATGGAGATGTTCCTGGGGCCTGTTTTAACAAATGGATGAATAACAGGATGACAGTGATACGGTGATTATTTTTTTTACAAATTTTATATATTTTATTTTCATAAAGTAGTTCACAATAGTTTATCGCAGGCAATATTCAAACACCAATCCCACCACCAAGCACCTTCCCAACACGAGAGGAAAGTGTGTGAGAGTTGTTCTCTTTCAATTCTGGAGCCATTTAAGGCTGAATATAAGAGAATACAAGTAAGTATGTTCAAACCAAATGAATGTGTGCTACTTTTGGTATGTAAGTGGGCTAGAGTATTAGAGGTCAAGCAGCTGCATTAGGAAATTCTCAGAACCTCTCTTCCAGGAACTTTAGTTTGTAGGCTCTGGATCTTGGCCATTGATGAGATTACATGTTGCCAGGGGCAGTTTGTGGGTGTGACTGCCAAGCTACTGGAAAACGGGGGATGTGGGGGGGTGGGGCCCAGGCCCGATCCAAGTGACTTGGCGATCTCAGCCACAGGTCCCGCATACCTAGGTTTTCTTGCCTGTTCCCACTTGGGTGAGGCTCATTCGAGTGTGTAGAGAGTGGCCTTGAGCATGGTGCCAGTTGTGTTCTGGAGGTTTTCGGCTGCCAGGGTTCTACTTGGGGCTGTGCTCGGGAGTCACTCGTCACTCCCGGGGGGTGCTCGGGAAAACTTGGTACTGGGGTTTTGCATCCAGGACTCCTGCCTGTGAAGCCAGCGTTTCTTCAAGTCCACAGGCCTGTCCTTCAGGGGCAGCTGGGTCTGCTGCCTTCTCCTCTGCACCCCATACCTCTGAACCTCATACTTCCCCCAGAGCCAGTGGTGCGGGAGGAAGGATGGGGCTGCTGGGGTCGGGAGTCTGGCTGGCAGAAAGTTTGGGCTCTGGGTGGGGGAGCAGGGCCACCATCTCTTTGTCGATGACGCTGTCCTTTTCACATGGACCCTGGGCCCACTCATGCAGGCGGCTGTAGAGGGGGATACCCAGCTTCTCCTGGAACAGGTAACTGCCAGTGATGTTGTCCCACTGTAGCTTCAGGTGGGTGCCTTTTGCGGGGAACTTGGCCACCAGCTCCTCGTCCTCCTTGTTGAGCGCCACGAACCCGAAGAAGCGCTTCACGTTGTTGGCCGCCAGTATGAGTGAGTGCAGCTCGGCCGTTTGCTGGAAGAGCCGCTCCTCGTTGGCGAGGTAGCTGGTCAAGTAGGCCTCCTGGCGGTAGTTGAACTTTGAAAAGCAGAAGTTGAACTTTGAAAAGCAGCAGCACAACTTGAAACAGAGCAGCAGATATGCAATCGCGGTGATAAGCGCCACCCCTAATAACTGAGACACAGCAGCCGGTCAGAGAAAGGGGCAGAAGAGGGGTCCAGAGAGGCTCGGGTGGGTCTGGCCCTCAGCACCCCCCAGCCGGCTGGCTCTGCATCTGCAAATTATGCATCCAAAGGAGAAACGAGCGTTCCCAAGCAGCACTTGCTCTGTGCTTCAATTGGGCAGATTCCTGCTGCCTTCCCCTACTCCTCAGGGCCTCCCTATTCCCCACATCTCAGCCCATCAAGTCTGGCTCAGACTGCCAGGCTCAGCCTCATGCCACCTCCCAGGGACCCTCTGGGAGCTCCCCCATGCCCGCTTCCTCCTCATGTGCAGCTCTAAGCAATGGCATCCCATTCCTGTGTCTCCGTACCCATCTCCTGGGCTGCTCGCTTCCTCCTCATGTGCAGCTCTAAGCAATGGCATCCCATTCCTGTGTCTCCATACCCATCTCCTGGGCTGCTCACACCCTCCCCTCTACTGTTGCTTCGTGTGTGTGTGTGCGTGTGTTGGGACCAAGGGTCACAGGTGATACTTCAGTCAAACTGGCTCACAGTTTAATCTTACGGCCTGAGGGATGTGGTGCTGCCCAAACCCTGTGGGGCTGGGGGTGAAAAGGCTTCCCTGGTGACGTGTGGACCCCATCTAGTGATGCTCAGGGAGCCTCCAGGGCCATACCTGGCAGTGCTCGGGGACAATGCGGTTCCAGATTGAACCCGATGGGCTGGGTGCACGCCAGGCTTGCGCCTTAGCCCTATACTGTCCCTAGCCCCAACCAGTGTTTGCCATGTCCCGACACAAGGTCAGTGCCTCCTTCCCACTCCCCGGCCTCCTCTCTGCCCCTTCAGCCCCCACCAGGCTGCTTCCTTCACTCTGCCCTGATCCCTCTGCCTCCTCGGAGCGAAGCCAAGGCTGAAGGTAGGAGGGAGCAAGCGATGAATGTCTCAGAAGCAACAGGATCAAGATGGGATCTAAAGCAGCGGATTTCGCCACAGAGCTGTGCACTTCGGCAGGTGGAGATGGAAGCCTCGGTTCTTACTGCCCAGGTTCTTACTGCCTGACCAGGGCCCAGGTGCCAGGGAGAGTGGGCAGGTGTGAGAGGCTGGAGACCGCTGCTCCAAAGCTGCACCATCACCGGCCCTACAGCAGCCCAAGGCACAGGGCAGGGACCCTGAGACCCAGCTGGCACAGGTTGGTGGTCCAGGAGAGAGAGGTGTCAGCAGGAACTGAAGGCTATGGTGAGCTGTAAGATGACTCCCCCAAACTCTGCCCTTGACAAGACCCTAAAAACAGACTCATTTTATTTTGTTTTCTTTTTTTGCCTTTAGGATCACACCCACGGTGCTCTGGGTACCATATGGGATGCCGGGGATCAAATTCAGGTTGCCATGTGCAAGGCAAACACCCTCACTGCTGTACGATCACTCTGGCCCCTTGCAACAGACTCTTATCTGCACGGAAAACCTCAAGTCAGGGCAGTCTGTGGGAACTTTGCGAGAGCAAGTAGGGACCTCCCAGTCCAGGCCTGCTGCATCCCAGCTGGAATGTGTGATTCCTTTCTTTGACCTTGGGGCATCCTCAGCTCTCTCCCCTCTGCACCTGTTCCCCTTGAACGCCGGACTGTTTCTCTCTCTCTCTTCCTGTCTCCCCCTTCCCTAACTAAAACGAATGTTAGTTAAGTTTTAAGCATTCGTGAGTTCTGTTGGTTTTGACCAAAACCCAAAACATCAAAATTCTTATCTGGAGGGGCTAGAAAATGACTGGAAAATGACTTAGCAATAGAGCACTTTCCTTGCATGTGTGTGTCTGGGTTCCACCCCCAGCACTGCCAAAATGAACACAACTCTCCTATTTGAAACTGGAAATGATTCTTATCACACCAAGAATCTTGCCTCATGTCTGTCACTGATTACGGGACCCAGGTTTGGAGTTTTCCTGAGGATCATTTCCCGCCTGGGCACTGAGCTCCCCCAACCCTCTCCCACCCGTCCACACACATACCTCGCAGGGAAAGGGATGAGGACCAATCAGCAGAGCCTTACCTGAGACTTATACTTGAGCCTGCGGTTCACCTCCTCCTGGAAGTCGGACAGGTTTGCAGGCCCCTCCCTGCAAGGGAACTTGGCCAAGATCTGTGTGGCATGGGAGAGAGTAAAGCTCTCGTCCCTGGCCATGAGCGAGGATGGGTCCACGAACTCGCTGAATGTGCAGACATAGGCCTCCCCTTGCAGCAGGGTCATGACCAACCAGGTGACTGGGGCCACGAAAGCACTGACTAGGATGGACTTTAGGAGAAGGAAGGTTGTGATGACTGAGCATTTCTTGTTCCTACGGATGCGACACTCGGCCACCAGGTTCCTAGTTTGTTTGTTGAGGAAGATGTTGATGAAGAACAACAGCAAGGCGGGCCCCCAGATGGTCATCAGCCCGTACTGGAGGTTCAACCGTGGTGTGCACGGACAGTGGAAGGCAAACAAGGAGAAGAGCTCCTGGCCACTCGTAGTTACCAGGGCCACTAGCCCATTTAAGCTCACCCAATCATTACTCTTGAACAAGAATGACAGGAAGCCGACGCTGGGGTTAGCCATGCTGTTGGGGCAAGGGCTGCAGTAGGACGAAGTGCAGGCTGGCGGGTGCTTGGCAGCAGGGCTGGGCTGGGCTCTCCTGTTCACGGTGGTGGCTGCTGGGCACCTCCTGTAGGAAAGCAGGAGGCAGAAGCATGTCTACTCACTGGCTGTCAGGCCCACAATTTGCCCTCAGGCGCCATCTTAGCGCGTCATTAGCCCTGGCTGAGGGACACAGCAGCATGTCCCAGAAGGCACCACAGTGCCGGAGATCTCTCTGGGCCCCATACCGAGCCAATTTCACCGGGACGCCCCAGACGGAGCTTGTGTCCTCTCCCCGCCTATTCCAGATGGAATCCTGGTGACCAAAAACTTCCACAAGCAAGGCCCAGCTGTGCTGGTTCCAGGACTATGCCAGGCCGCATGGTGGCAGAGGAACCAGGCTATCTCCCCCCGGGTCCCCACCTGCCCAAGAGACTGGCAGTCATGCTCACAATTTACCTCCAGGTGCCATCTTAGCGCACCAATGGCCCTGGCCCAGAAAGGCCCCCTGAATCCCAAAATGGATGAGGGCCCTACAGAGATGTCTTTGGAACCCAACCATTTCCAGTCTAGAAATTTCCATTTACAATTGCGACCATGCCAGCTCTCATGATATTCAAAATGAGCAATGGAAAATAAATGATCTAGCTTCTGCCCCTGGCAGATAGGTTTGAATGTTGGTGGGAAATTTCGAGCAAAACATAACGCCCAAAGTTAGAGAGAAAGTATTGGGGAAATTGTCTGCCATCGAGGCAGGGTGAGGACTGGGATGTGGGTGATGGAAAATGTGCTCTGGTGGAGGAACGGGTGTTCCTTCACCGAATGACTGAGTCCCAAATGTGAAAGCTTTGTAACTCTATCGCGCGGTGATACAAAAAAAAAAAGTAATTTGTAGTTTATGCCCAAACCAATCCGCTTAATCAATGATTGAAAAAATAGCAGTACTCTCACATCATTTAAAAAAAAAAAAAGAATGTCTGTTCTGAACCAGAATCCCAGGGCAGCTCTGAGGGTCAGCCAGAAGGGGCCATTCTCTCCATTGCAAAGAGCAGGAGATACCCCCAGGAAGAACTGGAGCATGGAGTGGGGGATTTGGCTTCGAGGTAGAGCTTAGGCCTCTTCCCTGTGAAGACCTGGGTTCACCCTCCACCCCTGCAAATGTGGAAGTGCCTTGGCAGGCCTTTTGAGCCCGATCTAAGGAGGCTTGGGTGGTGGGTGAAGTGAATTTTCCATCTCTGCTGACCTTATTCTTTGCTCACCCGGAGGCCCTAGGGAACCTTCTATCACCTGTCTCCCCATCATTCTCTCCATCTTTGTGAGGAAAAAGCAAAGTCCTCAGGTTGCGGGGTGGGGGAGCAGACAGGTAGGGTATCACGCAGAGTTGCCCCAAGGGGGTCCCTCTCTATACGTGCGCACCATCTGCTTACTGCCAAGACTTCCAGACGGGCCTGGGCTGAACTCGCTGTCGGGGAGAGATCGGACCCCTCATCCTGATGGAACGTGGGCGGGTCTGTTTCGCAGAAAAGGGAGTTTGTGGGGATGCCAGGGCTGGAGCCTGCCAGACCCTTCCCTCCACCTCAGCCCTTCTTGGCTTTAAGGCTCCCAGGAGCACAGACTCTGGGTGCAAAGTGCCCAAGTATGGTTTCAGAGGCCACTGGTGGGGGTAACTGAGGAGGGACCAGGTCCTCTTCTGAGACCACACACCAGGCCAGCAAGGGGCACCTCCAGATTTCTCAAAAAAAAAAAAAAAAGACGAGGGGTGGAAAGGAGGACCAACCTGACTGCTCTAGGTCAAATGGCGACTTGCTTACCGAGAGCTCCTGGACAGGACAGATGGCCTGGGTTGTGGAGGCCTTCGGCAGTGCCCTCGCCTTCCTGCTTTGCTTCTGTGCTGGATCTGGGTGGCTTCAGAAAGTTTTGCTCCAGAAAAGAACAGGGTCAGCTGACTGATAATGAACATGGCAGCCCCAAGTCAGGAAATTGGCAGGGCGGAGGGTGGGGAGCAGGGGTGTGGGAGTGAGGGCAAAACTTTCTTCCTCTCCCTGTCCTGCCCTGGCTGATTCATTTTCCCAGGAGGTCGCACCCTAGTTCCAGCTAACTCTGGTGTTATTTCAGACCTCAGGTTGAGGGGCCTGAGAGATAATACAATGGGTGGGCACTTGTCTTGTACAGGATCACCCAGGGGTTCAACCCCTGGCATCATTATTAGTCCCCTGAGCTGGGTATGCTCAGGGTCTTATAACTAAGGGGGGAAAAATCTTAGGTGGAGGGAAAACAAACAAAAAGCAGCACCTAAGGATCTGGGAGACGCGTGTTTGCTGGATGAGCTGAGGGGCAGGTTTTGCAGGAGTCCTGGGGTCCAGTCCTCAGCACTGCTTCCTCTGCATGGTCCCACAGCCATCTCCGGAGCCACCCCTGAGCACCAAGCTGAAAGTAACCCTGAGCACAACTGGAGCGGCCATTGCTCCCAAACTACCCAAACCAAAATTCGAACCCAAATCTCAGGAGTGCTGGGTGGGAACTTCAGAATGTGGAACCCTGGGCCAGGAGGGAGTTGGGTGGATTTGGAGCAGGGTGGTTTTTATTTTTCTTCCCACATCCAACTGACTCCTTGCCTTTTTTTTTTTTCTCTCAAGGATCATCCCTGGCCTATGTGGTGGCCGGATCAAACCCAGGTCAGCCATATGCAAGACAAGAGGTCAGCCATATGCAAGACCTGCTGTACTATCTCTCCAGCAACTGTTTATATTTTTTACCTGGAGATGCACTGGGGTTACCCCTGCCTCATGCACTCAGGAATTACTCCTGGAGGTTCTCAGGGGACCATCTGGAATGCTGGGAATCAAGCCTGGGTCGGTGGCGTGCAAGGCAAACACCCTACCCACTGTGCTTGTCCATCGTGGTCCCCTGCCACTCGCCTCGGCGCTGGCCCTGCGAGCAGCCCCCTGAGCACCCACCGCATGGCAGAGACGGGTGGCTTGGGGCTGAGGCGGGAGCGTCTCTGAGACTCTGGTGGGAGGGTGGTGTGGGGGTGGCCAGGGCATGGCCCTCCCTGTCCCAGCCTCTGGCTGCTTTCTCTCCCTCTGCAGCTGCCTCCGGCTAGGAAGCCCTGGGCCACACCTGCTGGGGAGCAATTCAGGGGGTTTGGCAGGCGTGTGTGGAAGGAGAGGCTGGCACAGTCCCAGCGGGAGCGAGGGAAGCAGCCTGCTCTGCTGTCCTTGGGTCTCAGGGGCTCCTGCCAGGTCACACAGTCTCGGTGTGCTGGTGGGTTGCTGGTTGTGAGGGTGGCTGGGCTGGAAGTGATAATGGTGGTGGCGGGGGGCGGGGGACTGATGGTGGAAAGATGGTGCTGGCAGTGGAGGTGAGGATGGAGGTGATGGTGGGGCTGGTGGAGGTGGTGGGATGGTGTGTTGCTGTTGGGAATGGAACTGGTGGTGATGGGGATGGAGATGGAGGTGGGGATGGAACTGATGGTGATGGGGATGGAGATGGAGGTGAGGATGGAGATGGTGATGAAGAAGGTGCTGGAGGTGGGGATGGAGCTGGAGGTGGTATACCAGGTGGGGCTGGTGGAGCAGATGGAGATGGTGGGGGTAGCAGAGCAGGTGGAGCAGGTACAGCTGGTAGAGCATATGATGCTGGTGGAACAGGTGGAGGTGGTGGACCAAGTACAGTAACTGCAGTATTACAGTAACCTCGACCTCGCAGATACGAAATCCACAGTCGTCAGCTTTGTACAGATGTCAGTTCCGTCTTAGGGGACTCTGTCTTGCACTGTGGGAGCCAAGTTGGGGAGCATGCCCTCGACCTCACGACAGAGCCCTAGAGGTGGGAGATGGAGACACACGTTTGACATCCCCGTGCTCAGTCCTGCCAGGTATGTGGCCATGTGGCTTCTCTTCAGATACTTCTGGGGATTTAGGGTCAGTGTTCCCCAAAGTGAGGCTTTCCCAGTCTCCCCCAGAACCCCCAGAAGAGATCCAACGATGTGGGCTCCCAGTCCCCAGGCCTGCCAGATGCAGAACTCTCAGTGAGGGAGCCCCCAAAGGCATGTGTGACCAGAGCCCTGCATCTGCACAGTCCCCTGCAGACTCTTGGATGGGCTGAGACCAGGCAGGGCAGGAGGGGGAGTGGGTAGGCGAAGACCCTGCCCCTGTGGGTGTGGCTGGAGGGTGTGGCAGTGAGGGCGCAGAAGCAGGAAGTGGGGGCTCTGTTCCATGGGGAAAGGAGTAGGTGCCCACCAGAGGAGCCAGTTCGTCCTTGAAGACTGAGTGAAGCCCATCTTGTGTGTGTGTGAGTGGAGGAGGGCGGATCTCAGATGTCAGGATGAGTGGGTTAGACTGGAGGCAGTGGGAACTGTGAACAGTATTTGAGAAGTTAGTGGTTTCTCTAAGACAGCTGTTGCAGGAGAAAGATAAGGATGGAGATAAGGATGGTGATGAGGATGGTGATGAGGGTAATGGTGAGGGTGAAGATGATGGTGATGATGATGGTGGTGCTGGTGCTGGTGCTGAGGGTGATGGTGGGAGGATGGTGATGATGGCGGTTGTGGTGGTGGTGATGGTGGTGATGGTGATGAGGATGATGGTGGGGGGAAGGTGAGCATATTGGTGATGGCGATGAGGATGATGATGGGAGGATGGTGATGATGGTGGTGATGGCGGTGATAGTCATGATGGTGTGAGGATGGTGAGGATGTTGGTGATCGTGATGAGGATGATGGTGTGAGGATGGTGATGTTAGTGGTGATGCTGGTGGTGATGGTGGTGATAGTGATGAGGATGATGGTCGGAAGATGGGGATGATGGTAGTGATGGTGCTGATAGTAATGATAGTGATGAGGGGCCACGAAAGCACAGACTATGATGGACTTTAGGAGAAGGAAGGTTGTGATGACTGTACATTTCTTGGTCTTGTGGCACCGGCACTTGGCCACCAGGTTCCTGGTTTGTTTGTTGAGGAAGATGCTGATGAAGAAGAACACCAAGGCGGGACCCCCATTGGTTTTCCGCCCATATTGGTAGTTCAAGCCTGGTGTGCACGGACAGTGGAAGGCAAACAAGGAGAAGAGCTCCTGGCCAATTGTAGTGACCAGGGCAACTAGCCCATTGAAGCTCACCCAATCATTACTCTTGAAAAAGAATGACAGGAAGCGGACGCTGGGGTTAGCCATGTTGTCAGGTCAAGGGCTGCACTCAGAAGTGCTGGCTGGTGGTTGCCTGGCAGCAGGGCTGGGCTGGGCTATCCTGTTCTCGGTGGTGGCTGCTGGGCACCTCCTGTAGGAAAGCAGGAGACAGAAGCATGTCTACTCACTGGCTGTCAGGCCCACAATTTGTCTCCGGGCACCATCTTAGCACGTCAACAGCCCTGGGCCAGAGACACAGCAGCAAGTCCCAGAAGGAACCACAGTGCCGAGATCTCTCTGGGCCCCATACAGAGCCAATTTCACCAGGAAACCCCAGACGGAGCGTGTGTGCTCTCCCCGCCTATTCGAGATGGAAACCCGGTGACCAAATGCTTCCACAAGCAAGGCCCAGGTGTGCGGGGTCCAGGACTACGCCAGGCCGCATGGTGGCAGAGGACCCAGGCCAACCCCCCCCCCCCCCCGGGTTCCAACCTGCCCAAGAGACTGGCAGTCATGCTCACAATTTACCTCCAGGTGCCATCTTAGCACAACAAGGGCCCTGGCCCAGAAAGGCCCCATTGAATCCCAAAATGGATGAGTGCCCTACAGAGATGTCTTTGGAACCCAACCATTTCCAATCTAGAAATTTTCATTTACAATTGCGGCCATGCCAGCTCTCATGATATTCAAAATGAGAATGGAAAATAAATTATCTACCTTCTGCCCCTGGCAGACAGGCTTGAATGGTGGTAAGAAATTTTGAGCAAAACATAATGCCCAAAGTTAGAGAGAATGTATTGGGGAAATTGTCTGCCATAGAGGCAGGGTGAGGACTGGGATGTGGGTGATGGGAAATGTGCTCTGGTGGAGGAACGGGTGTTCCGTCACCGTATGGCTAGTCCCAAGTGTGAAAGCTTTGTAACTCTATCTCACGGTGATATAATTAAAAAAAAAAAAGGTAATGTGTAGTTTATGCCCAATTCAATCAGCTTAATCAGTGACTACAAAAATAGCAGTATTCCCACATTATTTAAAAAAAAAAAAAGAATGTCTGTTCTGAACCCGAATCCCAGGGGCAGCTCTGAGGGTCGGCCAGAAGGGGCCATTCTCTCCATTGCAAAGTGCAGGAGATACCCCCAGGAAGAACTGGAGCATGGAGTGGGGGATTTGGCTTCGAGGTAGAGCTCAGGCCACTTCCCTGTGAAGACCTGGGTTCACCCTCCACCCCTGCAAACTGCAAATATGGAGGTGCCCTGGCAGGCCTTTTGAGCACGATCTAAGGAGGCTTGGGTGGTGGGTGAAGTGAATTTTCCATCTCTGCTGACCTTATTCTTTGCTCACCTGGAGGCCCTAGGGAACCTTCTATCACCTGTCTCCCCATCATTCTCTCCATCTCTGTGAGGAAAAAACAAAGTCCTCTGGTTGTGGGGTGGGGGAAAAGACAAGTAGGGTATCACCCAGGTTGCCCCAAGGGGGTCCCTCTCTATACCTGAACCCTGTCTGCTTACTGCCAAGACTTCCAGATGGGCCTGGGCTGACCTCGCTGTCGGGGAGAGATCTGTTCCCTCATCCTGATGGGACGTGGGTGGATCTGTTTCCCAGAAAAGGGAGTTTGTGGGGATGCCAGGGCTGGAGCCCGCCAGGCCTCTACCTCTGCCTCAGCCCTTCTTGACTTTAAGACTCCCGTGAGCACAGACTCTGGGTGCAAAGTGCCCAAGTAGGGTCCAGAGGCCACTGGTGGGGGTAACTGAGGAGGAACCAGGTCCTCTTCTGAGACCAAACACCAGTCCCGTGAGGGGCACCTCCAGATTTCTCCAAAAAGAAAACCAGGAGGGGGTCGGAATGAGGACCAGCCCATCTGCTCTGAGACAAGTCATACACCCCAGGACTGGCGCCTTGCTTACCAAGAGCTCCCGGTCAGGACAGGTAGCCCAGGGTATGGAGACCTGCAGTGGTGTCCTCGCCTTCTTGCTTTGCTTCTGTGCTGGATCTGGGTGGCTTCAGAAAGTTTTGTTCCAGAAAAGAGGAGGGTCAGCCGACCAATGACATGCATGGCAGCCCCGAGTTGGGAAATTGGCAGGGGGGAGGGTGGGGAGCAGGGGTGTGGGAGGGAGGGAGGGGGGACTCTGCGGTTTACACTGTAAGGTCTCAGCAGGTCAGGGCCATGCTCAGCCTCCTGTGGGACGCTCACCCCACCATGCAGAGCTGCCCCAGCTGGGAGGGAGGAAGATGGCAGGAAGATGGCAAAACTTTCTGCCTCTCCCTGTGCTGCCCTGGCTGTTTCATCTTCCCAGGAGGTTGCACCCCAGTTCCAGCTAACTCTGGTATTGTTTCACACCTCAGGTGGAGGAGCCCGAGAGATAATATTGCAGCTGGGCACTTGTCTGGCATAGGCACAAACAGGGGTTCAAGCCCTGGCATCATAATTAGTCCCCTGAGCCTCACCAGGAGTCAGTTCTGAGCACAGAGACAGGAGTATGCCCTTAGCATGCTGGGTCTGATCAGGGTCTCATAACTGGGGTTGGGGGGACAACAAAATCTTAGGTGGAGGGAAAACAAACAAAAAGCAGCACCTAAGGTTCTGGGAGACATGTGTTTGCTGGGTGAGCTGAGGGGCAGGTTTTGCAGGAGTCCTGGGGTGCGGTTCTCAGCGCAGCTCGCTTTATATGGTCCCACAGGCATCTGTGAGAGCCACCCCTGAGCATCAAACTGGAAGTTAACCCTGAGCACAACTTGTGCGGCCGTGACTCCCAAACTAACCAAACCAAAAGTAGAACTCAAATCTCAGGACTTCTGGGTAGGAAATTCAGAATGTGGGACCCTGAGCTCTGAGGGCATCAGTGAAAGAATTTGGAGCAGGATGGTTTTTATCCCCCAACTCAGCTGACTCCATGCCTTCTATTTGGATCAGGGATGACCCCTGGCATATGTGGTCCAGGGTATCAAACCCAGGTGAGCCACATGCTAAGGCAAGAGCCCTACCCTCTGTACTATCTCTCCAGCCAGTGTTTACTTTATTTATTTATTTATTTATTTATTATTTTACAGAGATGTATGTACATTCATCGACCCTCCTGGAGAGTCCAGCAAGCTACTGAGAGTATTCTGCCCGCAGAGCAGAGCCTGGAAGCTCCCCATGGCATACTGGATATGCCAAAAGAAAGAACAATAACGGGTCTCATTCCCCTGACCCTGAAAGAGCCTCCAATATGGCACCGTTGGGAAGGACAAGTAAAAAGAGGCTGCTAAAATCCCAGGGCTGGGATGAATGGAGATGTTGCTGGTGCCTGTTTGAACAAATGGATGAATAACAGGATGACAGTGATACGGTGATCACTTTTTTACAAATTTTATATATTTTATTTTCACAAAGTAGTTCACAATAGTTCATTGCAGGCAATATTCAAACACCAATCCCACCACCAAGAACCCTCCTAACACAAGAGGAAAGTGTGTGAAGGTTGTTCTCTTTCATTCTGGAGCCTTTTAAGGCCGATTATAAGAGAATACAAGTAAGTATGTTCAATCCAAACTAATGTGTGCGACTTTGGCTATGTTAGTGGGCTAGAGTATTAGAGGTCAAGCAGCTGCATTAGGAAATTCTCAGACCCTCTCTACCAGGAACTTTAGTTTGTAGGCTCTGGATCTTGGCCGTTGATAAGATTACGTGAGGCCAGGGGCAGTTTGTGGGTGTGACTGCCAAGCTACTGGAAAACTGGGGAGCTGGGGGAAGGAGGCCCAGGATTGATCCAAGTGACTTGGCGATCTCAGCCACAGGTCCCGCATACCTAGGTTTTCCTGCCGGTTCCCACTTGGGTGAGGCTCATTCGAGTGTGTGGAGAGTGGCCTTGAGCATGGTGGCAGTTGGGTTCTGGAAGTTTTCTGCTGCCGGGGTTCTATTTGGGGCTGTGCTCAGGAGTCACTCCTGGGTGGTGCTCGGGAAAACTTGCTACTGGCGTTTTGCATCCAGGACTCCTGCCTGTGAAGCCAGCGTTTCTTCAGGTCCACAGGCCTGTCCTTCAGGGGCAGATGGGTCTGCTGCCTTCTCCTCTGCACCCCTTACCTCTGAACCTCATTCTTCCCCCAGAGCCAGCGGTGCAGGTGGAAGGATGGGGCTGCTGGGGTCGGGGGTCTGGCTGGCAGTAAGATGGGGCTCTGGGTGGTGGAGCAGGGGCGCCATCTCCATGTTGATGACCCTGGCCTTGCCACTTGGACTCTGGGCCCACTCATGCAGGCGGCTGTAGAGGGGGATACCCAGCTTCTTCTGGAACAGGTAACTGCCAGTGATGTTGTCCCACTGTAGCTTCAGGTGGGTGCCTTTTTCGGGGAACTTGGCCAACAGTGCCTTGTCCCTCTGGCTGAGCGCCACGAACCCAAAGAAGCGCTTCACGTTGTTGGCCGCCATCGCGAGCGAGCGCACCTCGGCCGTGCGCTGGAAGAGCCGCTCCTCGTTGACGAGGTAGCTGGTCAAGTAGGCCTCCTGGCGGTAGCCGAATTTCGAGCCGCAGGACTGCAAGAACTTGATCAGCAACAGCAGGCTGGCCATCTAGAAGATGAACAGCCACCCTAAGTGCTGAGACACAGACGGCCAGTCAGAGAAAGGGGCAGCTGAGGGGGTCCAGAACAGCTGGGGTGGGGCTGACCCTCAGCACCCGGCAGCCAGCTGGCTCTGCATCTACAAATTCTGCACCTGAAGGAGAAACCAGCTTTCCCAAGCGGCACTTGCTCTGTGCTTCAATTGGGCAGATTCCTGCTGCCTTCCCCTCCTCCCCAGGGCCTCCCTATTCCCCACATCTCAGTCCACCAAGTCTGGCTCAGACTGCCAGGATCAGCCTCATGCCACCTCCCAGGGACCCTCTGGGAGCACTCCCATGCCGCTTTCTCCTCACCCTCACTACCTTGCTGGAAAATCGCCTCATGCTGGTCTCAAAGTCTCCCTGGGGTGGGTGTCGCTGCATTTTTGGCCCTGTGCAGCTCTGAGCAATGGCATCCCATTCCCGTGTCTCCATACCCATCTCCTGGGCTGCTGACACCCTCCCCTCTACTGTAGCTTCGTGTCTGTGTGTGTGTGTGTGTCTGTGTGTGTGTGTGTGTGTGTGTGTTGAGACCAATGGTCACTGGTGATACTTCAGCCAACCTGGCTCACAGTTTAACCTTAGGGCCTGAGGCATGTGGTGCTGCCCGAACCCTGTGGGGCTGGAGGTGAACAGGCTTCCCTGGTGATGCGGGGACCCCATCTAGGGATGCTCAGGGAGCCTCCAGACCTGTAACTGGCAGTTCTCGGGGACTGTGTGGTGCCAGATTGAACCCTATGGGCTAGGTGCATGCCAGGCTTGCGGCTTGGCCCAGTAGTGTCCCCAGCCCCAACTGTTGTTTCCCATGTACCGAGACTAGGTCAGTGCCTCCTTGCCCCTTCCCGGCCTCCTCTCTGCCTCTTCAGCCCTCACCAGGCTGCTTCCTTCACTCTTCCCTGATCCCTCTGCCCCCTCGGAGCGAAGCCAAGGCTGAAGGTAGGAGGGAGCAGGCGATGGATGTCTCAGAAGCAACGGGATCAAGATGGGATCTAAAGCAGTGGATTTTGCCACAGAGCTGTGCGGGTCGGCAGGTGGAGAGAGTTGGAAGTCTCGGTTCTTATTTCCCAGTTTCTTACTGTCTGACCAGGGCCCAGG